AAGAGACTTCTTTTCCAATCCTGACAACTCTCTTATATCCGGGTTACACTGTAACAACTTCTCATTCCAGAAATACTTAGAAAAAGCTTTAAAAATACAAATGCAACATGACAAATATAATTTACCAAAGGTCAAGTTTAATAAGCTTAGACGTATCATCAATGATAACTGCTGGAGATGACACTAGAAATTGGAAAACATTTGTAATTTTATTTAATTTTTGGTATTACCCACCTTGTCTACCAAGTAGTATGGTAATAAGCAGTATAAAAGGAAAGGATATAGATTCTTTCTCTTTTTATTCTCTTATCCACAGGATGCAGGACCAACAGTATGAGACTCATCCCTAGGGAGATTACTTTCCACAAGCAAACTGGATATTTAATTTCAACCAAACTATGTAACACATGCACACGTTACAGTTAATCACAGATTTCTTTTCATTTTCCTGTGCGATGAAACATGTCAAGCCTCTGGCTGTTCTATAGCTATTTCCATGGAAAGTGCTCAGATGAACTACATTCCTAAGTTCCACCAGTTCTAATCTTCATGGCTAAGACCACGCCATGCCATGCACATTTTAATGAACCACCTTGATCCAATTCGTATTCTATTGGTGAGATGTAAGTTTCACATGAACACCTTCTTTCTATGAACTGCTGCTTTGTGGAACTGACACCCAAGTGGATGTTTCCCCAATCACTACAAGCTTAACCTGTTTGAGTCTAGTGTTCACTGTTATCTTTCCCACATATTCACATAGACTGTGCCTCTTACTCTGTAACCCTTGAGAGGCTCTTAGGCCTCATACAGAGTGAACATCATTGTAAAAAAAAATTAAAAATTTGTCTCTACACAAGTATATGTTCCTCTCATTTTTGAGCCATATATATTTAATAGGAATAGATAGGTTTACCTATCGCCCGGTTCATACTCCTCCTCAGTGTTTTGAACAGGAGTAGAGGTTTATCCCTTGTTTCTTGTTTAGAATTGGGTTTCTAGTTCCTTCTAAAGTCTTTTCCATTCTCTTTCACTTCCAGTAGCTCGTTCATTGCATTATCGACTGGCTTCTTTCTTTCTTTTTCCTTTCTTTCTTCCTTTTTTTCATCTTTTCCTTTTCTTTACTAAAATTGTTCTTCTCTTAATTCTTTCTTTTTTTCATTTAATTTTTGAAAATTTTATTCACTTTCTTTCATTTTCCTTTGTTTTTTAAAACATTTTCTTTCTTTCATTCTTTCTTTCTTTCTTTCATCTGTTCGTTTCCTTTTTAAAATTTTTCTTCTCTTCATTCTTTCTTTCATCTGTTCATTTTCTTTTTTAAAAGTTTTCTTCTTTTCATTTTTTTATTTCTATCATCTGTTCATTTTCTTCACTTTCCTTTGTTTTTCTTTTATTTTATAAAAGTTTCCTTCTTTCTTTCTTTACCACATAATAATTTCATCACCCAAATGTATGTAAAGAATCCATTATTGAAAGATTTCTTGAGTGCACTCGACATATTTTATAAAATAATTGTGAACTTAACCGACATATAACTAATGTATTTAAAACCTTATATTTAATAAGTGAAATGATCCTGTGATTTCATTTTAATAACATTTATGAAGTTTTATTTATCACGAGCCTGTCCTATTTTAGTTCAGACATCCTGTTTGTGGGGGCCTTACACTCAGTGTGATATACAAAATCTGGAAAAAGTATAAAACTCATTATGATTACTGAAATTAAAAATATGTTTTACCCTGATAAACTTGGCCTTTTCTCATTTGGAACTGAAGATCTTACTTGATTTAATTGAGGTATTTACTGGAAATAGGACAAGAACAGTGTGGGTTCATTAAAGACACTGGAACAATGAATGTAATATTTATGCCAAAAATGAAATCAGGAAGATACAAAAGGATGTTATATTCCATTCTAATAGGAATATATACTTGAAAAACAAGGTGGATAAAATAAGTAAAGGTTTATTGTAAAAAACCAGTACAATAAGAATAAAGGCAACAATTATGCACAAGGTCATCACAAGTCAATCCAGTAGTGAGTGCTACCATTGGAAGGTTGGTAGTTCTTGCGTAAGTCTGAGTCGTACTCAACAGATCCTAGTGAGTCTCTGTCGTCCGTTGACTTACAGATACTTATAGGTAGTTACTACCTATAGTGTAGTCACTCATGGGGGTGACAGGTTATTCCATTACATCAGGATGTATACCTATATTTTATAGATTGGGCAAAGTACATCACAAAGAACTGTTGGAACTGCTCGTTAACCTTGACATAATTTGGAAGGATAATACAATAATCCAGAACCTCTACTGGCAGCAAGCTACCTGCATATGGATAGAAAATGAGTTTGGTAATTATACAAAATAGAAAGAAGTGTAAGACAAGGATGTGTCTTCACATAGGACTTGTTTAACCTATACAGTAAGGCAATTCTAAGAGAATTAGAGGTCCTACCAGGATTTATTATTGGTGGCCATAATCTTAACAGCATAAGATATGCAGATGACATAGTGTTGATAGCAGATACAGAAAGGAAACTATAAGAAGATAGTAAAGGAAAGTGAGAAGAAAGGACTAAATATCAATTGCACGAAGATGGAATGCATGGGTTGTCAGCAAAAGGAACAGCCCAACATGCAAATTACAAATTGGAGATGCCAAAATCAAACAAGTACAATTTAAATATCTGGGAAGTGTTTTAACAGAGGATTGAAAAAATCCCAAATCCAAAGACACATTGGGATAGTGAAAGATGGTTTTCTAAAGCTAAGCGAAGTATTAAGAAATAGAAAAATTTTGTTAGAAACAAAGAAAAGAGTGTTACATAATATCAGTCCTCTATATACCAATGAATACTGAACAATTTCCTCCCAGATGAAGAACAGACTTGAGGTAACAGAAATGTACTTCTACAGAAGGATGCTGAGAATACCATACACTGATCATGTGAGCAATGGCAAAGTTTTAGAGAAAATGGAAACAAAAAAGACACACTTAGAATCTGAAAGAGACAGTTGAAGTTTCTAGGATACATAATGAGGAAATGGTTTGGAAAATTTAATCTTCACCGGACATATTGAACACTAAAGTGACAGAGGAAAACAGTGCCAAACCTACCTAATAAGCTTGTATAAATTAATGGCAGAACAGATATTAGGAGAGATAAACAAGACAAAATTTACTAAGAGTTACAAATAACAGGAAATTGTGGAGAGCCATTATCACCTACATCCTGATGGGACACAGAATATAAAAGATGAAGATATTTAACTGATAACATAAGTTTTGAGAAATATTTTAATAAAAGTGTGTATAAATCTACCAGAGGGAATCTATAAAAAATTCAACTGTTGTCCTTATCCTCTGAATGTACAAAAATATTCTTTTTTCATATTCGGTAGTGAATTAGTAGAACACACTCTCTCTTTTGGTTTGATTTGGTTTGGTTTGATTTGGTTTGGTTTGATTTGGTTTGGTTTGGTTTATTTTATGGCATATCAACCACAATGGGTTATTTAATGTCAACAATTTTTATTGCTGTTAATACTTTGCTTCATAAATCTATATCTCATAATTTTTTTTTCCTTAAAAAATATATTGCTGGTAATTTTTTTTTTCAGAAATGTATAGCTGGTAATTTTTTTTTTCAAAAAATGTATAGATGGAAATTTTTTAAAAAAAAATGTATAGTTTGGTTTGGTTTGTTTTATTTTACAGAATATCAACTTCAATGGGCTATTTAATGCTGACAAGATTTTTATTGCTGGTAATGTTTTTTTTTCAAAAATGTATTGCTGGCAATATCATTTTCAAAAATCTATTGCTGGTAATAATTTTTCTTCAAAAATTCATTGCTGGTAATAATTTTTACAAAAATGTATTGCTGGTACTAAAACCTATTTTTACACTTTCATGGTGTTTTTGCCCCAGTTTCGGGGTTAACTTTTTGCCCATTTCTGGGACCCTAACAAGTACTACCACTCCAACAATTAAGAGGTGGTTCCATGCTCCTCAAAACCTCCTGATCAGAGGCCTTACTGTCAGATATAGTTTATTGTCATACCCAGGATGCAGATATAGTTTATTGTCATACCCAGGATGCAGATGTAGTTTATTGTCATACCCAGGATACAGATGTAGTTTATTGTCATACCCAGGATGCAGATGTAGTTTATTGTCATAACCAGGATGCAGATGTAGTTTATTGTCATAACCAGGATGCAGATGTAGTTTATTGTCATACCTAGGATGCAGATGTAGTTTATTGTCATACCCAGGATGGTCCCTCTTTTGGCAGCCAATGCTAAGAATTTAGACATTTTCAAAGAAAATTTTGAACATATTGGCCAATTGTAACTGTACATGTCGCTTCCAATGTCTTAAATGCTTTTCTAATTCAATGTTTCAATTATTCCTATTTTATTTTGCCTAATGCTAAGCCTCTTTGTTCTATCTTTTACCATCTGTTTGTGTATTTTGGTCTAATAGTTGCTGGTTTAATAATTATTATGTAGTACCTGTCAGTCTTGAGAGAATATGGATCTGCATCAAAAGAGTTATGCCTCAGCTGCTGATATCATTACAGATTGACTTATAACTGCTAGACTGTGTTTTTCTATTGCAATGATGCAATGCTGCACATCTCCATTCTCCATGCCACTGATACTGTCCAAGGAAATGGTAGAGGCCAATACAGCTTGGCATAGACACCATAGCAGGAGTTGCCAGATCAAAGGTCATTCATCATAACATTGAACTGTCATAGAGACTCTGGCTAAGAGTTTGTCTTAAGTGTTTACTCCTAAAGTCTTTCCCATAATTGGGCATGGCTGCAAGTGGGGAGCTTTAAGATCTGGTTTAATAATAAATAAATACAAATTGGTTCTCTATATATTTAATGTTTGTCCTTTATAAGAACAAAAAGGATATTTTTTTTACACATTTTCACATTAAAAAAAAGGAAATCAGATAGGATTATCTGATTATGGACTTACCTTGCCTGATGACTTGATTCCGCGGCAAACGCAGCAATAGACCACAATCCAAGCAAATACAAAACAACCAAATATTTTAACATTGATACCCTCAGTCACATCAATTCCTGGGGATATGTCCAGGGCCTCACGGTACCAGTAATAGGACGAGGGTCCTGCCAAATCGCACTCTTCATTTGGTACAGTGATATTGTCGATAACGATTGTGGGGCATTTCTCCCAAGGTAGGTTTTTCTGGAATGAATTGAACATGTAGAAGAAGCACCAGGTTATGATGGCATTGTAGTAGATAGCCAAAAGCAGCGATACAGCTGCACTTGCAACACCGATTCCTCCAAGATAGGGGTGAATGGCATTCCAAACCCCAATGCTTCCCTTTTGAAACTTCTGTCCAATTGCCAGTTCCAAGTAGAGGAGAGGCATACCTTCCACAAATAGCATGATAAGGTAAGGGATGAGAAAAGCCCCTGAAAAATAAGGAAAAATAAATTAAATAAATATCAATTGAGAGGATTAGCCTACATTTTAGGGGAGATAATCAATAATAATCAGGATATGTGGGTAGTCTAATGGAAAATAAAATCAGTGACACATGTTCAAATTCCAACCCAGTCTGTTACATTCACTTCACACTAATGCCTTTGGAAAAGGCAAGAATTCATTTTCACACTCCAGATCCCTAGCAATGAGTTTTAGTATTTTTATTTATTTTTTATACTATTGTTTGTCAAAAAAGAGGCCCAAGAGATACTCATAAAGAGGGTGTACAAGGAGGAGGTAAAGATGCATATTATGAGGATATCTAGGATAGATAAGGGATGACCCTAGATTTTGAAAATTGTAGTCAAGATTGTAGTGATTGGGGAGTCATTCTTTCAGTAGCCTGTTCCACAATGTAACACTTCTGGAGAGGCTGTGTGTGCAGAACTTCCTCCTTACTTATGGAATACAAATGGAATAAGAAATCAGGTAAACATCCTTTCAGGAGCCTGTTCCACAAAGTAACAGTTCTGGGGGAGAAGCTGTCTGAGTGGAACTTCCTCCTTACCAATGGAATCTGAAGAATAAAGGATTGGGGAAGCATCCTTTCAGGGGTCTGTTCCACAATGTCACAGTTCTGAGGAATAAGCTGTCTGAATAGAACTTCCTCCTTACTAATGGAATAAGAATGAAATAAAGAATTGTGGAAACATTCTTTCAGGAATCTCTTGTTCCTTACCAATGGAGTATGAAGGAGATGTTGATGATTTGACCTTGTCTATGTGGGATGGCTGGTCCTAGCTATGAAAATCTGGACTGAGAAAGCAAAGGGATGTAGCTCACCTGAACATCTGTCATGAAAATAGCGATAGAGTAGTGAGAGGCTAGTAATATTTTTATCTGTGGGAAAGGGGTTTCAGGGTTGAAAATTATTCATCACCCACAAGGTTACATAAATGCCTTTGAACTTTATCAAAGCTGGAATGTAATGATTGGGCAGCTCCAGCCAAGATATGGCAACAATACTCCATTTGGGGGATAATCAGACTCTTGTAAAGATAGAGCATGGCTAAAGGATTCAAGTACTTTCTGGACTTGTAAACTGAGCTATCTAGCCTTGGCTGGCAACCAGTCTTGGAGAAGGATTACTTTGAATTCCAAACCATTGAGAAGGCAACAGGAAACCACTCTACTATTTTTCCTAAGAAGTCATGGCAGTTCACAGATAATAAGAAAAAGGAATCTGTGGAGAGCCATGAGCACTTACATCTTGAAGACACATGCATTAAAAAATCAACAAGTATTTCTATAAAATCTTTAACCAATACTCCTTCATATTATTATTTATATTATTTATGGTAGGACTAATATTCTCATCTTTTTTGTTATTATCACAGTGTTTTGGTCATTGTGCTTTTTGGCCTTCTTCAGGGGTCTGTTGATCTGAAATCCTTTGTTTAATCTATGGAATATCTTGTCTCGTTCAAGACACTGACAGTTAAATGATTTACCCAGAGAGATTGAATAAACAACCTTCTCAGAAGGTTATGTAGATTGAGAAGAGATGTGATAAAGGCCATTGAGCACAATGGCCATAATATTGTGATAGCAATAATAAAGATGAGGATATGAATACAGCTATAAATAAAGTAAATAATGATAATCTTTCATCTCAGAAACTCAGGCAGAAATTTATGATATTACTTTTATTATTACTTTAAAAAAATTGGAAGAAGGATACAAAAAAGAAGAAACAAGATCAGAAAGAAAGTTGCAAAAGAAAAAGAAGAAAGAAAAAGATTAGGAAAGAGATTGCAAAGAAGAAGAAGAGGATTAGGAAAGAGATTGCAAAAAAGAAGAAGAAAAAGATTAAGAGAGACATTGCAAAAAACAAAAAGAAGAAAAAATCAAGAAAGAGATTGCAAAAAATGAAGAGAAAGATTAGGAAAAAGATTGCAAATAAAAAGAAAAAAATCAGGAAAGAGATTGTAAATAATAATAAGAAGAAACAAAGAAAAATGATCAGAAAAGAAGTTGCCAAAGAAGAAGAAAAATAAAGACAAAGATTAGGAAAAAAATTGCCAAAGAAGCAAAAGAAGGAAAAAGATTAGGAAGGAGGTTGCCAAAGAAGAAGAAAAAAGATCTAGAAGGCGGTTCCAAAGAAAAAAGATGTGGAAGTAGGTTACAAAGAAGAAGAAAAAAGATCATGAAGGAGGTTGTAAAACAGAAGAAGAAAAAATCTGGAATGAAGTTGCAAAGAAGAAGCAAAAATGAAAGAAAAAAAGATCAGGAAAGCGGTTGAAAAAAGATTAAAAAATTAGGAAGAAGGTGGCAATAAAGAAGAAGAAGAAAGATCAAGAAGGAGTTTGAAAAACAGTAAATGAAAAATGTGGAAGAAATATCAGGCAGGGAAAAAAAGGAGAAAAAAGATCAGGAATGAGTTTGCAAAGAAGAAAAATTGATGAATGGAAAGGTAAAGATGAATGAAGATGAATGAAAATGTTAGAAAGAAACAGAGACAAAGATATTAAATATTATGAAGAACAAATATAAGAGAAATGGCAGCATTTGTCTGAAAGCCAAATTCTGTGAGATGTAACTAAAGGCAATCTGTTATCCAATACAGAAACATGACTACTTTCAGAAAAATCAATTTAAATCCATTTTTTTTCAATGAGAGACAGCAGCTGACTCAGATTCATTGTGCATATATGTTAAATAGAAATGTTTTTATCAGATTTTATTTTCCATTGATTTTTTATTATAATTCTCAGACTCTATTTGACTTTTCCATAAGTGACATGAAGTGGAATGATTATATTGAATCAATTGCTAGGTCTTCTGCTAGGAAAGTTGGTTTACTGTGTTGTACCAGACAATTTTTCATGTCAAAATTCATCTTGCACATCTATATATCTACTCTTGATCCATGCATTGAATATTGCTGCCATGTCTGGCCTGATTCTTCTGCTGTATATCTCTACATTATTGACAGAATTCAAACAAGGATCTGTGATATAATCTATCCTGACATGTCATCTCGACTTCAGTCACTTTCTCACCAACGTGATGTGGTTTCCTTCTGTGATTACTACAAATATTTTTGTGGCAATTGTTCTGATGAGCTGTCCTCTTAGTGCTCTTGACTGCATGAATTTAAGTTTACTACTAGATTGGCATCTAGGTATTACTGTTAAAATAGCTAGATGCAATCTTATGTTCTATTCTATTAGTTCCTTTAGAGTCATGATGTGTATACCAGATACATGCATCACAGCCAAATGTGAATGATGTAGCGGCAGGTTTTGATAAAGGTCACTCATAACTTGGCAGGTGGTACCCAATTAGAATTACCTTCAGGTCGGGTAACCCAGTCTTCTCAGACAGGCTCCAGGTTGATCATGTTCCCATGTAACTTGATGTAAATTTGAAGTCATCTTGTATGCCTGCTACTTTAAGAAAAAAAGAGAAACCATTTTGACACCCAGCAGTGATACTCATCTAATACTCTTGCCCATGAACAGATATGCTGCACAGAGTGGCAGCCCTAGGGGGACATGACCAACTGATTAAAGTCAGGCAACTGACAAGCTAATCTGTGGTACTGAATAGGATATTAACTGTAGTCTATCTTAATTCACCAAGACAAAACATGTACAAGCTAACAGTGCCAGTTAGTAAAGGTCAGAAGCCATGAGAGCCCATGCCTAGCTTAGCAGCAGAATATTATTATTAATATTATCATTAATATCATTATTGTTATTTCTTTTGATTTGTCATTTGATACAATTATTTACCAAGATTTTCATCTGAGGTCTAAAGTATAGATGGGTTCCCCTATTGTTCGGTTCAGACTCCTCCCTAATCTTTGGAACAGGAGTAGAGGTTTCTGTTTCCTGTTTAGAATTGGGAAATCTACTTCAATTCTGTACTTCTAATGCTTGTCCTTTTTATGCCAAGACAACTCCACACAGTAACCCTCTACTTTGAGTAGCTCTTGAGCCTTGTATTGGGTGAAATTTATTAAAAATAAAAGAAAATGTAAATAGGAACAGACAAGTTCACCTATTGTCTGGTTCACACTCCTACTCAATTTTTTGAACTGGAGAAGATGTTTAGGATTGGATTTCCAGTTCTCTCTAATGTCTACTTCAACTCTGTACTCTGTCTAAACTCTGAAATTTTATTTACTATTTATTTTTATTTCATTTTATTTTATTTTTCTTTCCTCATTAGGAGCAGGTAGATTTACCTATCGTCCTCCTTGGTCTTTTGAACAGAGTAGAATTTATCCCTTGTTTACTGTTTAGGATTGGGTTTTCAGTTCCTTCTTAACTTTCTCATTCTCTTTTCACATCTTTTGCATCTTAGGGGCATTATCACATTTTTGGGAGTGAATTGAGTTAAAAGAAAAATAATAATAAAAATAAAAATTTTTTTTTACTGAATTGAAAGAGCATTTCTAAGTATATAAGCAGTACTCAAAAATACAATCTTGTGTATTTCAATTATTATTATTATTATTATTATTATTATTATTATTATTATTATTATTTCCTTGGGTTTCTGTTGTATACACATTTCCTTCTGTGTCCCAACCAGAGACCTAAGTTCAGAAATGGCTTCCACTGAGCATTTTTGTAAAAAAAAAAAAACCAAAACAATCACACATACTTTACATAGATAAAGCTCTTCATAATATATGAGCTGTACTTGTGAATACATTTTTTTTGTATTTCTTTAAGGCATGGGCTAAGAAGAATCCCTTCAATGAGTCTATTGGAACCATTTCCAATCAATCCGAGGGCTCCAACTACAACTGAAATCATTGATTTCCTCATGTACCACATTTCTGAGATTTCCACTTCAAGATGCTTGTATTTTGATATTTTTTTGAAGCTCTTCAAAGATACATTACAATCTGCAGGGACTGACATGTCAATAAGAAAGCACATTCTGTT